CCGTTCGGACTCGAGGCCCTGGCTTCCCCAGCGCCAGCCGCGACAGCCCCCCAGGCAGCCCCGCAACCAGTCCCGACCATGGCGAGGCGCTGCGCCAGCGCCGCCCCGGCGCTCGCACTGCTCGCCTGCCTCGCGCTGGCGATGGCGCCGGCACAAACGAAAAGGCACCGATGCTGTGGCGCCCCCCAGGCCTCTCGTGGAGCGCGTGCCGGCCAGGACCTCGAGGCGAGTCCAGCCGTGGCGGCGAGGGCCGTACCAGAGGAGGCCCCGAGAGGGCGAAGGCGAGGGAGGGGCGGCGCCATCGGTGCTGAGCTCGCTGAGGACCCCCCAGAAGCATGGAGGCACTAAAAGTGCATTGAAGGCCAGCGTGTTTGGCTTCCGTGCGCCGACCGAAGGCCCAAGAATGTAGCCTTCATCAACGCCAAACAGATGCCCCCAGTGAGCAACAGCTGCTGCCCTCCAAATGAACCAGGCGCGCCCCCAATTTGGGGAAAGCTTCCTGTTGCATGGGCGCAGTGCTTGGCATTGCTTGGCACTGCCGAGGAACCCGAAGAATCTCCGGGGAACGGGCAGCATGACCCACGGAAGCAACATTCTTCTTCACCAACCAAGAACCATTTAGGCAAGCCTACTTGGGAACATCATTGCCTTCCGTTTTACTCGTTTGCCAAGGGAGGAAAAGCCACCCAGACCCGAGAATTGGCGTTTACTAAACGGCCTTGGGCGTTTAATAACAGCCCCGCCCTGTTCGATGATCCCTTCCTTGGGTGCGTCTGCTACACGGCCCCGCGTGTCGGGGTGATCTGCTGGATGATTTGTTATGAGGGTAGACTCCCTGCGCTCTCCAGTAATGGAGGATGACGATTAATAAATGACCGGGGGTCGTGTTCACGCCGCGGCGCCCGGGATGACGATTAGAAAAAACTGGCCGCGGGCTGGAAAACTATTTTTTTATCGTTCTCCTTCGGTCAGAAAATTATGCAGAAATAGCAGAAAACCTCCCATTTTTGATTAAATGCCCTCCGTGATGTCTGTTCCTCCCCCGAGGCGCCCCACGCCGTTGACTTCCTGGCGCCGCCCTCCCGCGCCGCCCCCGCGGCGGAGGGGACTTCGCTCGCCCGCGGCCGCGCCGCGCAGCAGCGCTCCGCCGACGTCGCCGCGGCCTCGGGCGGGCAGCCGCCGGCGCCCGGCAAGATCAACCTGCTGTTCCTCGGCCTGCGGGCAGTGCCAAGGGCCCAGACTCGAGTCGGACGAAAGGGGGGGATTGGGAAAGGGGGGGGTACGAAATTTGCTGCATGCAGCTGGTTTCGGCCTCTCCGAGGGGCCCATTCCTCGACACATGGCCGCCTCCGGCGCCGGGAGGCGCAGGGAAAATCAGCTACGTGAGCTGATTCTCAAACTCCCCCTTTGCTATCCCCCCCTTTCGCCCGACCCGACTTGAGTCGGGCGTATCTTCCTCTGTAGGAGGAAGATTCCGAAATATGGTCCGAACATCGTCCGGGGACGATGTTGTACAGTTTTTTGAATGTTTTTGTTGTGCACTTCTGAATCTCTTGGATTCTTGTCCTCCAAATCCGCCTGTAGGGGGACATGCCCGACCTAAGGGCAGTGCCAAGGGCCCAGACTTCCGCGCTGTGAGAAAGTCACGACGGGAGGTTTTTCGTTATTTTCAGCCTCCGGAGGCCCGTCCCGGGCCTCGAGGCTATCAAAAAACACGATGAAGAACCAGTCCCCGGGAAGAGGTCCAGACTTCTGAGGGTCACGTCATTAAAAAATCACGACGTCGGGGGTCTGGGGGGGGTTCGCCATTGGGGCTCGAGCGGTCGCCCACCGTCTGCTACTGCCTCTTCGCCTCTCTTGATGCTGTATCCCTTTTCCAGTTGCCGTTTCGGCCAGGGTGTGTGGGTCGGCCGACCCACGTGCCCGTGTTAGACGCATTTTAATTAGCCTTACCCAACGGTCGTTGAAAGTAGGTATTTTTGGAGTCCCAGACTCCAATCTACTCAAAGCGCCTTCCTACTTCAATGATCGAGAGGCTTCACCTTTTCCGTCCTCCTTAGGGGGCGGGTGGACACCCAATATACTTCCAACGCCTTCTTATTTCATGTTTCTACCTGCCTCTTCCAACCGATGGGTATCGTGTTCGCGCCCGCTCAGGGCAGAAGGTGCCCACACCCTGACCTCCGTTCTCATAGCCTGGGGGGGGACCAACTCCCCCTGGAAACACCGAGGCCCCAGGTGATCGGTTTTTATGCATTGTTTTGCCGATCGGCGCGGCGCGGGCCTTCGCACCCCCCCCCCTCCTCCCCCCCCTTGGAGTAAATCTTGTCTGTTTTTGGGCGCATGTTTCGAGCGGGGGGAGTCTCCCCTCAGAAGGCCCACTGCTACAAACAGTCGCACTGAGCAGAGGTCTGGAGCCAGACCCCGACCCCCCCCCTCCGCCCCCCTCTCCCGCCCAATGTCGAAACGCCGAATCAAAAACTGTCACCAGGGGTGTTGGACGACGCCTGGGGCTGCTCTGGGAGGGAGGGGGGGGGAGGGCGCCAAGGGGGGTCACCGCTGCGATTCAGTCGGGCGCGTCCCTCTACAGGAGGAAAATTCGAAAATAGTGCAAAATAATCCAGGAACGATTTTTGACTATTTTTGACAATGTTTGAACACTTGTTGACTAATTTAAATTCTTCGCCCAAAATCCGCCTGCAGGAGGACATGCCCGACCTGACGCTACGGTGAGGGCATCGACCAAGGATCGGCGACGAGCGAGGGGGAGAGGCGAGAGAGGGCGGGCCCTCTCAGAAGGCTCGGGAGTCTCCCGAGCCTTCCCCGGAGACACGGAGAACCTCTCCAAGGGCCCGACGGCTCCTGGGGAGCCCCGCCGCCCTGTGAGAAGGCCTTCTCCTTCGCACTTCCCCCCCTCGCTCGCCGCCGAGCTGGGGCGATGCCCTCGCTCGCCGCCGAGCTGGGGCATCGAATACGGAGCCCTTGGATTGGGAGCCCAGGAGTCTGGAAGCCGGAGGAACACCGCGGCGGGAGGCTCGGGAGCCTTGAGACGGGGGTCAATGCGAACGGGGGTTCGCCAGAGCGCCCGATCTTGCAGGATCCTGCAGGGCCAGGGTCGCATTGACCCGGGTTTGGGTGCAGGATCCTGTAGGATTCTGCAGGATTCTTCGCGTTGACCCAGGTTTGGGTGCAGGATGTTGCAGGATTCTGCAAGGCTTGACTGACCTGCGTCTGGATTGACCCGGGCCAGTGCGTCCCCGAGAAGCTCTGGGCCGTTTTCGGCATCCTGGGGGTTCCTGCCCAGTGCCCCGGGACCGTCAACAGACGACCCAGGATGAAAAAACAGTCCGTTCCGGGGCAAACGATGGGGGGGGGACAGGCATAGGTCAGGCGATCGCAAACATGGATCAAGGAGGCGTGGATTAGAGACGGGTCCCGTTTCCATGGGAAATCGCGGATTTCCGCCGCCGAGCGAGGCAGCACTGGCGGCATTTTGGGGAGGGCATTTCCCCCGCTACATGGATTTGGCGACCGCGCGCCAAATCTATGGATCGGTAATCCGTGTTTGCGCGCCCACGAATAGGGGGGACGCATCGAACCACAATCGCCTATTGATCGCCGACAGGGGTCTGAAAGCCCCAACCCGCCCAGGGCGGTGCGGATTCACTCTCGGGGGCCTAGCGCCCATCTACCGGCGATGTACCGCCCATTCCAGGTCGATGCATCCCCCCCTTATGCCAGTCCCCACCTATCGTTGACCCCCATACACTGGCAAAGGGCATGGACTTCCGGGGGCACCACCTTGACAAAAAATCCAGAAATCGCATGTCTGGGAGGGGGAGGCTGCCAGAAGCGATCCTGGCTCCGGGTGCCCCCCAGATTTTCGCGCCAGTTTGGAGCCCTTGGGGCCCGTTGAGGCCGAATCAGACAAAAAACATAAGCATGATTTCTCGGATGTCCGCGCGGATTTTTTGGATCGGCGCCGGGCCCCCCTGTCTGTGCCTCTGGCGCCACCCCTAGCGCGCTTCGCGCGACAGGGAAGCGGGCCCAGCGCCGATCCAAGAAGACCTCCGAGAAATGACGTTTAGGCTGTTATTTGTTCCTCTGTTGGTGATCTTCTTGGAAGCCCAAGGTCGAAGCTCGAGGAGGTTTTTGAACGTCTGGGGGCTTTTTTCGGGCGGGGGGGGGGTCTCTAGCGTGTTCTTGGGGGCTATGGGGTGTTCCTCGCTTCGGGCAGTGCCATGAGGGGGTCACCGCCAGTCGAAGAAGAAGAAGAAAAAAAAGCGGCGCAAGCGTAGTTCCTCTGAGATCCGCGCGGATTTCTTGGCTCAGCGCCGGGGGCCCCCTGGCGGCCCCTCCAAGGGCTGGACCTAAACGCTGTTTTGCTGGACTTCGGCTGTGCTTTGTGATTCGTTTGGGCAGGGAGGTACAGGAAAACAGATTGAGCAAAACGAGAAACAAAACGAAAAACAACGTTTCTGTCCAGCCCTGCCCCCTCCTGCAACCCCGGGCGCGCTCAGCGCGCCAGGAAGGTGGGTCCACCAGCGCCAGTCCAAGAGATCCGCGCTGACCTCCGAGAATTTGTGTTTCTGCCGTCGTCCTGAGCCGCCCGCCCCGTTCCTATTTTCCTTCGGCCGCGTCCTCTCCTCGCTCCTCCTCCTACATGGTACATGGTGGCACAACTCGCTCTGACGGCATCCCCGCTGAATCCTCTCGTCGCCGGCGCAGTCGCCCTCCTGCCCAGCCGCCGACGCAAGAAAGTGGTTGCCGCTGCTTGGTCCGCTGACCACGGGGGGTCCCCAGCTCCGGGAAACATCGAGGCTCCAGGAGCGAAGCTCGAGAAGGTTTTTTGGGACGTCAGGGTCGTTGGGGGGCCAGGAGGAGGAGGAGGAGGAGGAGTTGGCGGAGATAGAGGAGGGCGGGCTCTGGGGTGTTCTTGGGAAACCACCAGGAACTCGCGGTCCCCCTAGCGTGGAGGCATAAGAACTTGTTGAGATCCGCGCGGATTGGGGGGAATCGGTGCTGGAGCCCCCCTGGCGGCGCCTCCAGCGCCGCCCTTGGCGCGCTCCGCGCGCCAGGAAGGGGTCCAGCGCAGATCCAACAAAGAAACGAACGGAGCTACGAGAGTTGATGTTTATGTAGCTGTTTCTTCTCCGAGACCTGACGTCCCCAGGCCTACTCCTCTTCTTCCTCCTCCTCCTCGTCCTCCTCCTCCTCCTCCTCCTCCTTCTTTTCTTCCTCCTCCTCCTCCTCCTCCTCCTCCTCCTCCTCCTCCTCCTCATCCTCCTCCTCCTCCTCCTCATCCTTCTCATCCTCCCTCCTGCTCCTTCTCTCTCCCTCCCTCCCTCCCCACTCTCCTTCTCCTCCTCCGTTTCTTTCTCTGGGTTCTCTCGTTCCCTCCCTCCCTCCCTCCTTCCCTCCCCCCCCCTCCCTCCCTCCCCCCCCCTCTCCCTTCCTCCCCCCCTCCCCCAGACATCCGACGTCCTGATGTTTTCAGCACTGGCAGTGCCGACCCAGTCCCGAGGGCCTGGTCTTTCGTCCCCGGGCCGCTTTTTGACGGTCTCCCGGGGCCCGGCGAGGGCTGGAGGGCGCCGAAAACGGCCAGAAATTGTTTGTCGCGCCCTGTGTTAGCAGCGCGAGCATGTTCGAGCCCCCCTCCCTCGGCCTCGTCCCTCTGCCTAGCCTCGGGGCTGGGCGCCGAAAGCGGCCGAACACCTGTTTGGGTGATGCTGCCGCGGCGCGAGCATGTCCGGGTCCCTTCCCTCCGCAGCACATCCGAGTTCAAGCTTGAAGACGCCCCGAGCGGCAGGAAACGCTGGCTGAGCACTTGTGTCTGCTCTTCGATAGGTGAATCCTGCCCTTGATCGAACACAAGGTGAGAAGGGAAGGAAAGGCGTCCACCAGTGTCGTGATTCTGATTTGGATTGACGTTGTAACTGACACCATCCAGCAAAGAGTTAATGGCTGGCTCGGCGGCGAGCGAACGGGGGAATTGAGAAGGAGGAGGCCTTCTCAGAAGTCGGCGGGACTTCTTGGAGGCCCTCGCGCCTTCTCAGAAGTCTTCGGGGAAGGCTTCGAAGACGTCTCAGACGGCCCGGGGACTCCCGAGCCTTCTGCGAAGGCCCGCCCCGTCTCACCTCCTCCCCGGGCGCGCCGCCGACTGGCAGACGAGGCGAGCAGCACCTGCTACGGTGAGGGCCCCTCCCTCGTCCCCTTTCCTCTGCCCGGCCGCGGGGGGGCGTTGGTCGCGGCGGGGGGCGCCCGTCGGGCGCCGCCCACCCGTCGCGGTGCGCGGCGGGCGCGTCGGGCGGGGAGGGCCCCGGGAGGGGCGCCCCGAGGCCTCCCGTAATGGTTTGTGTGGCTCGCGTCGCGATCGGCATCATCCTGTCTTATCCTATCCTCCCTCCACCGCCTCCTCCTCCTCCTCCTCCTCCTCCTCCTCCTCCTCCTCCTCCTGTTCCTGTTCGTGTTCCTGTTCCTCCTCCTTCTCCTCCTCCTCCTCCTCCTCCCCCTCCTATTCCTGTTCCTGTTCCTCCTCCTCCCTCCTCCTCCTGTTCCTGTTCCTGTCCTCCTCCTCCTCCTCCTCATATTCCTGTTCCTCCTCCTCCTCAATTCCTATTCCTCCTCCTCCTCCTCCTCCTCCTCCTCTCCTCCTCCTCCTCCTCCTCCTCCTCCTCCTCCCCCTCCCTCCTCCTCCTCCTCATCATCTTCCTCCTCTACCTTCCCCTCCTCCTCCTCATATTATGTTTCTCCTCCTCCTTCTCCTCCTCCTCATATTCCTGTTTCTCCTCATCCTCCTCATCCTCCTCGTCCTCCTCCTCCTCATTCTCTACCTCCTCCTCCCCCTCCTCCCCTTCCGTAGCCATTTTGACTCAAGCCGCCCCGCAGAGGTCCTCGCGGCAGCCTCACCCAATCCCCGCGCTCCGCCCACGGGCGCCACCGCCCCGATGGCCGCCGCCGCGACGTGGGCGCCCTCGGCTGGACGCCGCCGTGGCCGAGGCGCCGCCAGCAGGCCCCCCGCGGCGCTGGCAATGGCGCTCTCCGCGGCCGCCGCGCTCTCCGGCGCGGGCACCCTCTCTGACGCGGGCGCGCTCGCGGGGCCCTCCGGCAGCGGCAGCGCTGCGCGAGAGGTGGGCGTCGCCCGCCGAGGCGTGCTGCGCGGGCGGCGGCGCACCGCCAAGGACGGAGGCCAGGGCCGAGAGATTACCACTCAGGTCAATGGCGATGTGTCCCCCCCGGGTGCTCGATGAAAACATCGCCGCCGCCGTTTTGCTTCACGAGGTGCTCTGGTGTCAGCGGCCGCCGTCGTCGCCGCTTTCCCTTGACACCTGGTGTCGGGGGTCGTCGTCGTCGCCGTTTTGTTCCTGACACCCCTTGCTGGCTGTCCCCCTCGCCTCCTTTCTGCATGAGAGATTCAGGCTCCCGCTGCAGAAGGAGAACCACCTCGAGCGGGAGCAGCGCGGACAGGCCCGCGACGGACCTGGCCAAGCACAGGCTCCGCGCCGCCACCACCGTGCTCAAGAAGATGAGGGAGGAGGCGGACAGCGTGATCGCCGAGAAGCTGAAAGGCGACCTGGTCGAGGAGAAGATGATGTCTGAGTGTGGGACGACCGAGGGCCAGCTGAACGCCAGAATGACCTGGGACAAGCCGGCGGGACGTGACAGCCGTGACAGCAGTCTGCCCCGCAAGAGGGGGCATTCCAGGTTCAAAAAGAAGTATCGCCAGTTCAGGGCGCCGCACTACTACACCACACCTGAGTACCACCACTGCGAGCAGAGGATCGGCGTCCCAAGCGAGAGGAAGTTGGTTGAGGGAGCGAAGGTACACCGAGTGGAAGGGGACCTACAAGGAGGAGGACGAGAACCACTTCGCGAAGGACAAGGCTGAGCATGACGCCAGGCTGGAGAGGCAGAGGACGTTCTTCAACACGGGGCAGAGCATCTTGCGCCTGGTTCCGGGCGACGTTCTTCAACACGGCAGAGCCCTTGAAATTTGAAGCTGCAAGTCCCGACTGTCTATCCCTAGGAGGAGGAGTAGGGCGAGCAAGCGCGGTAGGCCCACATCTCGCAAATTGCCCCCGCGCGGGGTTGCCCAGTGCGGTCGGCAGCCTTAGCCCTCCACCAGGGAGAGCGAGCGAGAACACAGCTCGCGGGCAGGGGCCGATCACTGGCTCACGTATCACGCCCCATCCCAGCGAAGGCGTGTGAAGCGCGACTCTCGCCCTCCTCTTACCCCTCCTCGCCCTCCTTCTCCTCCTCCTCCTCCTCCTTCTCCTCCTCTCCTCCTCTTCCTCCTCCTCCTCTTCCTCCTCCTCCTCCTCCTCCTCCTCCTCCTCTGCCTCCACTTCTTCCTCCTCCTCTTCCTCCTCCTCCTCCTCCTCCTCCTCCTCCTCCCCCTCCTCCTTCTAGTCTCCTCCCCTCCTCCTCCTCCTCCTCCTCCCCTCCTCCTCCTCCTCCTCCTCCTCCTCCTCCTCCTCCTCCTCCTCCTCCTCCTCCTCTACCTCCACCTCCTCCTTCTCCTCTTCCTCCTCCTCCACCTCCTCCTCTTCCTCCTCCTCCTCCTCCTCCAGGCCTGCTGGCGGGCACCGCCGTCATCGGGCTGCTGGCGCTCTTCGGCTACGGCGCCTACTCGGGCGCGGGCAGCTCGCTGTGAGCGGGCCGCCCGACGGCCAGTCGAGCCCGCTTGCCTGTCGTCGGGGAGTGGGCGCCTCCCAGATGGGGTTCAGAGCAGACGTGGTTTCTCCTCGATTTCGGGTTTCTGAGGTTGTTTTCGGGCCCTGGGATGCGGCTTGATGTGGAGGCCGATGTTCTCCACCCCGACGTCGCGAATGCATCGCCAATGCATCGGCGATGCGGCGCGATCCTCCGACCCCATTTGCTCGGAACCTGATCGGGAGGCCTGTATAGGGGGGGGGGGGGCGGGCAGCGAACATGATCGAACAACATGTCTCCGTCGGCGGCGATGGGCACAGCCCAACGTGGCAGAGATGGTCGAAGAGCAGGACACGAGGCAGACATGAATTGTTGGAGGTCCGCGCGGATTCCTTGGGTCCCAGACCCCCTAAAATCATGAAGAGATCACGACGGAAGGTTTGGGGCCATTTTCAGCCCGGGGGCTCCTCCCGGGCCCCCAGGACCGTCAGAAAACGACTCAGGGTGAAAACCGGTCGCGGAGAAGGGGCCGAGATCTCTGGGGGCCGATGCCTTGAGAAAGCCATGCCGTCGGGGGTGTGGGGTGGGCGTTGGGCCGTTTTTGGCGCACCTCGCGCGCCAGGAGGGGGGGTCCAGCGCCGACCCAAGAAGTCCGCGCGGACCTCCAAGCGCTGCCGGGTATGTTGACGACCTGTCTTTCCAGGTGAAGTCAGGAGGGAATAAGAACACTCAGACACAAGCAATCGTCGATCCCCAGGAGAATAGATGGAAAGTATGGGAAGAGGAGGGGAAGGCGAGCCTCAAGAAAAGATGGGTGATCCTTGGAGTTGTGCCTATTTTTTCGTGTGTCATTGGGCCCCTTCGTGAAGGACGGAGGGCAGGGACAGGGGCGGCCTGACCGACCCCTGGCCAACCTGCCCCCTCCTTGACGACCCCCTCGCCTCGATCCAGGACGTGGGCAAGCGGCCGGAGGGGAACCTTGAGAGCGAGGGGATCGTCACGGAAGGGTTGGTCACGGAAGGAGTCGGTTCGGCCGCGCCCGAGATGGTTTGGGAGGGGAGGGAAAGGAGGGCAGTGATTGAGCAGTGCCCGCTTGCACGCCGCCGCATGTTTGACCGGCTTTCACGCGCGTGCCGATGCCCGCCTCCGCTTTTTCAAGTGTCAGTCTGTCTTCGCAGCCGACATATTGAAGTTGGCCTACATGTGGCTTCGGCGACAGAGTCCGCGCTCGCTCACATCAACAGGTTCCTCGTCCTCCTCATGATTATGGTCTTTTATTCCACCAGTATCCATACCACGTGTCCTCTTATGACCATCTCATTATGTGTGGTTGCCGCTCTTCTTCTCCATCCACGTCGTCATACAAATTGTGTTACTCCCTCCCGCGAAGTATCCCCATCCCTCCTCACCGCCCTCACACTCGTTAATATTATGTGTCTTCCTAGTCATCCGTATTTTCCTTCCTCCGACGCAATCATCACCAGAACCACCATCTTCCCCACACTCATGGTTCCGCCCCCACCTCTCTTCCCCTCTTCCTCCCCTCCGCCAGCCCGTTCTCCTCCCCTGCATCGTCCTACCTCTTCTCACCCCACCTCCATCATTGCTCTCCTCCTCCCCCCCCCTCCCCCCTCCTGGCGCAGTGAAACCTGCGTATCGGTGCAGGCACATGTCAGGTCAGCGGCTTCGGCGCCTGGCCTGGGGCGCGCCTGCGTCGCTGGGTGTAGCTCGGCCCCTCGGGTGCAGCAGAAGGCTGCACTCCGTCCCCTCATCCTCCTTCCCCTCCTGCCTCCCCTCCCCTCCTCGTCCCCCCTCCCTATCCGTCCCTCCCCTTCCTCCCCCCCCGCTCTTCCCTCCCCCTCCTCCTCATCCTCATCCTCCTCCTCCTCCTCCTCCTCCTCATCATCATCATCCTCCTCCTCCTCCTCCTCCTCCTCCCCCTCATCATCCTCCCCCTCCTGTCCTCCTCCTCCTCCTCCTCCTCCTCCTCCTCCTCCTCCTCCTCTCCTCCTCCCTCCTCCTCCTCCTCCTCCTCCTCCTCCTCTCCTCCTCCTCCTCCTCCTCCTCCTCCTCCTCATCATCATCATCATCATCATCCTCATCCTCATCCTCATCCTCATCCGTTCTCCCCTCCTCCGCCACCCCCCCCTCTCCACTCCTCCCCTCTCTCCCCTTCCACGAGCCCCAGCCCCCCGCCCCTTGCGGCACCCCTCGACGACCGCCGACCACGACGGACGCCGACCCGCGAACGACAGCCCCGGCCGGCCGGTTCGGCCACTGGACAGTTGCCATCGCAGCGGGCCGGCGGGCAGGCCGGTCCCGCCGAGCAGGTGACGCCCAGACAATTCGGGGCAGGTGGCCGCCAGGGAGGCTGTGCCCGATGAGGCGTTTGAGAGAGGGCCTCGCCTCCGAGGATCGGCGGAGTTGGTAGTATCCCTTCCTCGGCGGAAGGCTGGCGGGAGGCGGCGGATGGAAGACGAGGCCGCGTCCGCCTCCGCTGTCGGAAGCCAGCGGACGTAAAAGTCGCCCTCCCAAGAGAGGGCCCGCCCAACGCAGCCCAAGCGCCGTGGGGTCGCGCCCTTCCTTGGGGTAGTTTTTTTTGCCCCGGGTCCGTTGTGGGTGGCTTGCGGGTTCTGATGACAGGCCTTGGAGGCCGAAATGGAGGAGGAACGCCGGAAATTCAAAAATCATGACATCGAAGGTTCCCACGTCAGGGTTTCATGAAGTCGCGGGCTTAGTGGAGGGGCACGAAACTTGATACATAGTATGGTATTCCGATACACTCCTCGCTCTGGCGGGGCCTCCGTGGAGGGCTGGGAGGGGCACGAAATTTGATAGATAGTTTGGTACTCCAATACCCTCCTCGCTCTGGCGGGGCCTCACTGGAGGGGGGGGAGGGGCACGACACCTGATAAATAGTATGGTACTCCGATTCGCTCTGGCGGGGCCCCCCTGAAGGGCTGGGAGGGTCACGAAACCCGATACATCGTATGGTACTCCGATACCCTCATCGCCCTGGCGGGGCCTCCCTGGAGGGCTGGGAGGGGCACGAAACCTAGACACAAACAAAAAACACGCACGAAAATAAACAAACAAACAGACACGCAGACAAACACGACCATTACAAACAAACAAACAAGCAAACAAACAAACAAACAAACAGACAGGCAGACAGACAGACAAACAAACAAACAAAAATCGACGGAGGCGAAGACCAATCCCCCCCGACGCATCCGCCGATGCCGCAGGCGGAGCGCCGCCGCGCGGCGCGCGAGGAGCACACGCGGTCGCTAGAGCGCGCCGCGCGAGCCGCGGAGGCTTCCGCGAGGCGCGGACCCGCCCCCCCCCCCGCCGCGGCGGCTCTCTCTCTCTCTCTCTCTCTCGAGGGCCCTCATCCTCCTCTTCCTCCTCCTCCTCCTCCTCCTCATTCCCTTCCTCCTCCTCCCCCTCCTCTTCCTCTTCCTTCTCGTCCTTCTCCTCCTCCTCCTCCTCCTCCTCCTCCTCCTCCTCCTCCTCCTCCTCCTCCTCCTCCTCTCCTCCTCCTCCTCCTCCTCCTCCTCCTCCTCCTCCTCCTCCTCCTCCTCCTCCTCCTCCTCCTCCTCCTCCTCCTCCTCCTCCTCCTCCTCCTCTCCCTCAGCATCATCCTCATCCTCATCTTCCTCTTCCTCTCCTCCTCCTCCTGTCCTCCTCCTCCTTCTCCTTCTCATCCTCCCCCTCCTCTTCCTCCTCATCATCCTCCTCTTCCCTCTCCTCCTCCTCCTCCTTCTCCTCCTCCTCCTCCTCCTCCTTCTCCTCCTCCTCCTCTTCCTCCTCCTCTTCCTCCTCCTCCTCCTCCTCCTCTCCTCCTCCTCCCCCTCCTTCTGCTCATCATCCTTCTCCTCCTCCCGCTCCTCGTCCTCATCCACCTCATCCTCAGCATCCTCATTCTCCTCGTGCTCTCCCTCCTCCTCCCCCCTCCTCCTATTCCGATTCCTCCTCCGTATCCTCCTCATCATCATCCTCTGCTCCTTGCGTCTGCTCCTCCTCGTCCTCCTCCTCCTCATCCTCATCCTCCTCCTCCTCATTCTCCTCCTCCTATTCCTCCTCATTCTCCTCCTCCGCATCATCATCCTCCTCGTCATCCTCCTCCTCCTCCTCCTCCTCATCCTCCTCCTCATGCTCATCCTCATCCGCCTCATAATGTCCCTCCTCATTTATCCGTCTCCTCCTCCTCATCATCATCATGCTCATCCTCCTCGTCCGCCTCCTCATCCTCCTCCTCCTCCTCCTCCTCCTCCTCCTCCTCCTCCTCCTCCTCCTCCTCCTCCTCCTCCTCCTCCTCATCGTCCTCCTCCTCCTCTTGCCCCTCCTCGTCATCCTCATCCGTCTCTTCCTCCTCCTCGTCCTCCTCCTCCTTTTCCTCCTCCTCCTCCTCGTCCTTCTCATCCTCCTCTCCCTCGGCCGTTTCTTCGTCCTCCTCGTTCCCCTCCCCCCCATCTTCCTCCTCCTGATTGTCATCATCATCCTCCGTATCTTCATCCTCCTCCTCCTCATCATCTTCATCCTCCTCCTCCTCGTCCTCCTCCTCCTCCTTTTCCTCTTCCTCCTCCTCCGTATCCTCCTCCTCCTCCTGATCTTCCTCATCCTCCTCCTCCTCATCCTCCTCATCCTCCTCCTCCTCTCCTCCTCCTCCACCTCTCCCTCGTCCTCATACTCATCCTCATCCTCCTCTTCCTCCTCCTCCTCCTGTTCCTCCTCCTCCTCCTCCGCTTCCTCCTCATCATCCTCTTCTTCCCTCTCATCCTCCTCCTCCTCCTCCTCTTCCTCCTCCTCCTCCCTCCTCCTCCTCATCATCCTCCTCATCTTTCTTCTCCTCCTCCTCCTCCTCCTCCTCCTCCTCCTCCTCCTCCTCCTCCTCCTCCTCCTATTCCTCCTCCTCCTCCTCCTCCCCATCATTCTGCTGATCATCTTTCTCATCCTCCCGCTCCTCGTCCTCATCCTCATCATCATCAGCCTCCTCAG